CACTGGGAATCACAGATAACTGGCTCTTATGGTTCCACTCAGCATCCACTGACAGATCAATTTCCCCCTCAGGTAATGGTCACAGTATCAGGAATATTGTGGGGCCATAAAGAGGTAGACAGAGACCCTCCATAGTGTAATAGTTTTATTTCAATAGTAGATAAGTAAGCCAAATGGACACTCGCAGGCAGATACAATCCATTTCCGCTAGATGCACTTCCGGTAGACGCCATCTTTGGACACTCGGGGACCTGCAGTACACCCACAGCACATGGGAAACCGCTGGATTGTATCTGCCTAACTGCACATATTATATAGGTCATTTATTGACCGACCTTCTTGCAGTGTATCACCAGGTATCCATTTATAAGCATGATTTAAAAAGCACCAGCCAGTGTGTTATATTCTATGTATCTATGCATGCTGTTTTTATATTTCCTTATTCTGTTATCCATAATTACATGTGGTTATATAGCATTGTGAGTGTATTATACATACTGATTACTATTTATGTGTAGCACTTCACCATCATTATAGTAATATCGTGTATCAGGTATAAGGAAAAGGTGGTAGCAGCTTGCATAATATATTTTTGTTTATATCAATACCAGTGGAGCACAGGGGGATTATCACTTTTATCTGTAGTGATGTCTGACTGCTATTATTTTGAACACAACTGTATGTTTTCATCCCTTTTTATACTATAATAAACCTTGGATAATGCGCTAGGGGTGTGCGCCTCCTGTTTACTCTTTTTAGCAATCCTTAATGACTTGGAGATGATCTGCTAAGAGGAGTGGTCAAAAATCCCCCCTGAGATGTGTGCAAACCTGGTGGCCAACTACAGGAAATGTCTGACCTCTGTGATTGCCACCAAGTACTAAGGCTGGCCATACATTACACAATTTTCTTGAGATTTTTGGTTTAGATTTACCAAAAACCATATAATAGGTCAAACCTAACAACACTCATTTGTATCCAATTAGGCAGGCTCTTGCAATACATAAATGAAGGTAAATCTAAAGGAAATTTGAAAGAAAATTGTGTAGTGTATGACCAGCCTTAGTTATGTTTTGTGAAGGGGATCAAATACTTATTTCCCTCATGAACATACAAATCAGTCCATAATTTGTTAGACATGCATTTCTTTTGAATTTTTTGTTCTGTCTCTGTTGCAATACACCTACCAATCGATTTTTAGACTGACCATTTCTTTGTGAGTGCGCAAACATTCAAAATCAGCAGGGAATCAAATACTTATTTTCTTCACTCTAGCTAACAAATGACCTATACTTTGCCCTTAAAGTATGGCTGCTGGAGAGAAAAAAAAAACGCTTCTGTTTTGCCTTCTTGAGGGAGACAGGCATAAGCCTGCTGCAATTGTTCCCAGTCATGTAGGTTATTGTGAATCCTCCTGCGCTTCTAGGAAAACCCCCCTCCTAGTTAATATGCTGCTAACACTCCAACCGATACCCAAAACAGTGTCCAATATAATAAAATAAATTAGTGTAGCGCTAAACATTCAAATAAGACTAGACCACTATAGAGTAAATAATAATACATAATAAATACTGTGATAGGTGCTGTGATCCTCTCAGTGCTCTGATAACACTAAATTCACCTCCTAAATTAATCACTCTGTACATTAATAATAATCCATAAAAAATATAGTTGTTATGTTCCCACTTGCAAAGAAATAATAAGACCCCGAAGAAGTCACGAGGTTGACGTAACGCGTGCAACTTCCGGTATCCGGAGTGTCGCACTTCCTGGGACGCCATTTCCTGGTTATCAGGAAGTATCATCAAAGGTTTGCAGTTTGCCCACCGGAATTGCCGCTGTACAAACTGAATGTGAGTTACCTTTGGCTATATGCTATTAAATCTTTAATGAATCCATGGAAATACTCACTAATTCTGTGAGAGAGAGTTTGCAGACAATCGCTGGTGAGGAGCCTTGGAGGCATTACAGTGAAGGTAGAGTGGAGGAGGTCTGATAGGAGGAATACCAACCAGGATTGTTGAGGATTGTGATCCTAAAAGCTTGAGGGCCCCTAGGGGTCGCAGGAAGGAGGTGAGCAGGCATTGCAGCAGAAGTGAAAAAGTGTGTTTTTATTCACGAGTGGCACTATTTCTATATAATCACTGTGCATGTATATAGAGAACACTTGGAATAGAGGATTCGGATTTTGAACATTGGACATTAAATGAAGTGAAAGTGGCACCATCACTTAATATTGATTTATTTATATATTGATATATTTCTTTGAAGTGGCACCATCACATTATATTTTTTATGGATTATTATTATTTGTAATAGAGTGATAATTTAGGAGGTGATTTAGTGGAATGGATCACAGCACCTATCACAGTATTTATTATGTATTATTATTTACTATAGTGGTCTAGTCTTATTTGAATGTTTAGCGCTACACTAATTTATTTATATATTAGTCATGTAGGTTAACCATCGTGGGGTCAGCAATATATCTGGTCTCGGCCTGTAGAACTTGAGTATTTTAATCATGTTCCCACTGCTTAGAATGTTGCTTGATACTAGCATTTTGTGCTATAAGGACAGTCAAATAAGCCTTCAATGAATCCCAATATATTAAGGAGGCACAGTCAGTTTATTGACAAGGTATACACCTGAAGGTCAGTCAGAATACCTCCTCGGACGGAGGAAGAAAGTCAACCAATAAGGATTCACTTTCCAAAAGGTATGATTGGGACTGAACCTCAAAAACTGTTTCAGGACTAAAGGGGAATGGTCAGAAAGGCCTCTAGCCGCATAGGTAATATCAGAAATTAAGGGCAGTATCCCAGTTGTTCCCAAAGCCAAATCTATTCTCTATAAGGTTTTATGGGTACATGTGAAGCACGGAAAGTGTCTCTCAGTAGGGGGTTGTAGCCTCCAACTATCTACCAGTCCAAGCTCCTGAATATATTTTGCAAAGGCTGTGGTTTGCGATGGCACTGGTCCTGTGGCAGTATACTTATCCAGAGATTGGCCACCATAATTATTGAACTCCCCCACCAACCACCGGACATCTGGCTTGTCCGAGGTAAACTTTAGGAGGTTCCTAAGGACGTTAGGTGAATAGGGAGGAGGAATATAAATATTAGCCACCAATATGGTTTCCTAAACCGTGTGCAATACAGAAATATATACCTCTCCTTCATATCCCTTTGGACCTGGCTGCAAGAGAAGTCCACCCCGTTGGCTATTAAGATAGACACCCCTCTGGAATAAGGTGTAAGTAGAATATTGAGTACTAAGTAGTGCGTTTCAAATATTTTAGAGTATCTAAGCAGAGGTGGGTCTCCTGCAAACAGATCACAGAAGGAGAATGACATTTCAGTGCTGCAAACAGCTTGTCGCTTGGGATCACTGAGTCCTCTCACATTCCAGGAAATTAAAGGGTAAGTCAGGGTACCCATAATAGCTTAACCAAAATCAATGTATAACAATGTCCTGCTCCAATGAGTGGAGCCAAAAAAAAGGTACATTGGGGGCCCATGCCATGGAAGAGAAAAGGAGTTCAGAGCAGATACGATCATTACCTTGACAGGACTAACTCTTACTGTGTTGGAAAGCATCTGGCACTTAAGCTTCCGAGAATAGCACTGACCTCCGGCCCATACTTGTTTGTCATCACACACTTCCCAAGGTTTTGTGAGAGCTCTCAGACAATCAGGTTTGGTTACCCTATTGTCACTTCCAGACCTCGTATATGCTCACCTGCAGACCTCCAAATACTGGTGTTTGACTCTCATTGTCTCTTAAACAAGTCTCTTCCACTCATTGTTTAGGATAACTTTTTTGGAAGGTCACTTGAAATTAACCAAGAATGTTAACCCGTGACAGTCAACTGGGATCCTAATTTGAAATAATATAATATCATTTTTCTTAATAAACAGTCCCCAAAAGTCATTACACAATGTTGGCTCCGTATCACCAACAGGGATGCAGTCAGGATCTGTAGCAGGGTTACTCACTGCGCCCTCAGGAATAGGCTACGTGGCTGCGTCCTCCTCCCAGGCTGGGGAGTTAGAGGCCGAGGAAGGAGCAATCCCCGAAAGGGGTGCCGATGTACTGGGGCCACCAGCATCCTTAGCCAGGGTCCGGGCAAAGCGCTCCAGGTGGTTGATGGTATCACGCAGCTTCTCCTTAACTGAGCGCTGCGGCTGGGGCCTGGTGCCATCTTGAGAAGAGCGGTCGGCTGCCACCCCCTCCCTGTTCTTCTTCATCATGTGTCCGGAGCAGGAATGACAAGCACCAAGAGTTCCGGGTGAGTCAGGAGAGCAAGGATGAGTAATCTAGCCCGCTAAGTCAGGATGGGTCCCTATGTTGGAGGAGAAATTCAGGATGGGAAAGGAGAACTCTAGCCTGCGCCCCCCCCCCCCAACTTATTTTTGCATGCAAAGTTGTAGTCGTACTATTTTAAAATACATTCCAGCACTTTTTCCAAAAACGCAAACAGGTTCCTTACTGAACAATCTGAATATTTTTTTTCTTTTATTTCTAATTGAAAATGGACAAACAATACAGATTTAATTCCAACCTGGTACTGGTGTACGTATTTACAGCAAAGAACTTTCCCATTTCTATTGACCCCACACTTGTGTAGCATTTAATATATATAATTATGTGACATGGTAAATAAGCATATTTCAACAGTTTAGTAACGTAATAAAAATTGATAATTGTAACCTATCAAGTTATAATCTTACATATCATTTAGTGCAGGGAAAAGCATGATTTTTGTGATTTTTCTGTTTGAAATAATATCTGCTGCAACAGGAGAGCGAATATGCAAAGTAACTGGAAAGTGTCACAATTTTCTACAAAAAAAAACAAACAAATCACTGGATATAAAATCAGCCTTGAGCTGAGAAGCTATGTATACATAGAGCTGACCACTGTTTATTTGAAGTCCTTTTGGCCCTGGGTGTGCCCAAGGGGGACATTTCAATTCATAGTGGCTAGAAACAAGGGGGTTAATTATATCCCTGAGCTCCTTCATCATCCAGTGACAGCTTGGGAGTACCTGTGGACTGCTGTGTTCTGCTTAAAAATATTGGATAGTTTTTAACCTTTTCCTTTTCTAACTCTTCAAAAAGGTAGTTGCAGCTTGCTTTATCAACTTCATTTGGACTAAAAAGGTTGTGGGAAGGTATGAAAAAATTAGAAAGCGAATACATTTTTAGACATTTCTGAAAGGATTCAACATATCTACTGAAGCAGATATCCAGGTCTTCCCACTTCCAGTCTTCATCTTTTGGGTACTGAACGCAAACATGTAGTAGGGCAGTCTTTGCCTGATACGAACAAAATTGATTCATTCGTCGATTTCCTCTCAACTTGAGTTGTTCCAATATATACTTCATCAGTTTAAGACACTGTTTCCTGAAGGATATTTGTACAGTGAGAGCATGCTAGAAGCAAATTAGGGGTATAAGCACAAATGTGAAAAGCAAAATCTTATTCTTTCTCATCTGTTGAGGGACAGGGATAGTCTTTAAATGTTTGAGTTGTACTGCCACCTACAAAAAGATTGGACACTGGTGTAAAAACAAAAAAAACAGCCCAGGGAAGTATAATCACTCCTACAAGCATACCTCAGTTCTTTGTTAATTTCCTAGGGAATGGGCACATTTTCTTCAGCTCTGCTTTTTTTAAAGACTAATCTATTCCCTTACTAGCACGTTTTTCTTCACCCTAGACTCCTCCTTACCCCACTGCTGCAGGCTTACCTTCCAACTGCAGCTATCTGGCACAGTCATGTTCAGCCTGGCATTTGGACCGTACATCTGGACTCTGATAAACTGGATGTTGCAGGGCTAGCCTGGAAGTGACCTTCAGCTTATGGGTTCCATGCTTTCCAAACCCAGTTCTCAAGGTGTCTGCTTTCAAATTCCAGAACATTTGGCATTGTCTCTGCAGACTCCGTAAGTAGACTGGTTGGGTTGTGTTGGGCTGAGCAATGAGAACTCTCTTGTTAGTTGCTGTGCCCCATTATTCTATTTCTGTTGATTTCGCTGTGGGATAGTTTAAAGATGTGGGAATGAGCAATGACATAGAGTGCCATGCACCCACTACACTCTTTCTAAAGGAATATCTCCCTGCTGCTGCTCCTGCTTGTATATAGCACGTAGATCTTCAATCTGTTCCTGCTGCTGCCTACAGTGACTTTGGTCACCTTTAGCAATTCTGCCTTCTGGTCACTGACCCTCACCTGCTACCAGCTGTCTTGATTTTGTGATTACTTGAAGTCGTCTTACCTCCTACTTTGAACCACGTTATCCATGCTGTGTGTCCAATTCTAGACATGGGGGTGCAGGTCGGGGGGGCATTTTCCTGCTTTAGTGTGTGTCTCAAGCTTACTGTCTACTAATGGGTAAGGGAATGCTTACAAAGTGCCTATTGATTGTGTTCTGGCATGCAGCCTAGAGTCCTTTGTTTTCTCTCCCCTCCTTGGGCTAGCTCTATCTGGTGTGACTGCATCCCCTGCTGTCTCATCCAAAGTTTTTTACCTTAGTCTTGCAAGATTTTATGACCCAGTTTACATAGTTTGCTGACTCTAATCACAGAGACAACAAGTGTGTTTCTATGCCCTTCCTAGCAGTTTCTATTTCTGATTTACCAGTGGCCTTAGCAGCTTTATAGCTATTGGCTGCAACGACTGTGAATCCAAAGCTCCCAAGTTCTGCTTATTTTACCCTTGTGTTGCCATAGCCTACTGTTAGTACTCCCAAATTAAAGAAGACCAATTTGACTCAAAGTTGTGCATACCAGTCAATCTAGATGATCAGCCTTTTGCTTCTGCCAGTACTGTTTCTGTGTCTAGGGTCACAAAAACTATCCCTTTGCACAAGACTTCCTAGTTCTTTCTTTATCTAGATTTGAAGCTTGGTCCCTCTAAATGCCCCACTGGCTATGTATCTTATTTAAGAGATTTTTGTTCCTTAATGGTCAGTTCCCATGGTAGATCTAGCTGCATCTCACCCTAAAAAAGTGACCACCATACTGGCATATGATGCACCTCTTGATAATATCATCAAATATGCTACTGACAGAGCCCATATCTTCCCTAGCAGAAGTTAAGGAGCAAGTGGCTTTATCTCCCTTGTTTCCCATTAAATGGCCCTTTAGTTTCTCTCCATTCCCCTCGAATTCAGTGGCGCATTCACCAACTTTGAATCCCCCGTACACACCCAAATTCTGACACTCCAAGTCTGTCAAGTCCTCTGATAAACCTTCCTCCACATAAATGTGCAGCCCCACTTTCCAGACTAGGTGAGACATCTGTTGACCTTTTCGGATTCCTGGAAAACATGCATTCCAGATGTTTTGGTGCAGGATGTGTTGGCCCTGGGTTACAAACTCAAGTTTCATTCCCTCTCCTAATTTTCTCACTTCAGCCTTCCTGTGTCTCTGCACAGATCATCAGATCTCCATGAGGTTTTTTGGATCAAAGATGTCATTGTACAAGTTACAGCAGGGGAATGGTTTCAGGGGTTTTATTCAAACCTATTCACCGCTCCCAAGTCAAAGGGGCATTCACCCCATCTTGGATTTCAAGGTTCTGAATGTTTTCATTTTGGCTGAAAAGTTCTGGATGGAATTCTCCAAATTTGTCATCCTCTTCCTCCAACAGGAAGAGTTTGCCTTCTGTCGACATAAAAGATGCTTGCATAGATGTGTCCATCTTTCCAGCAAATCAGTGATTTCTACAGTTTGCCGTAGAACCCAAAACTATTAGCTCATGGTTCTGCCGTTCAGCCTCTTCTCTGCATCTGGGGTGTTCTCCAAGGTGCAGGGTCCAGTGTTAGCCCTGTTGCATTTTTGGCATCGCTAATATACGATGGTTAGACAACCTCCTGTTGAAGGACCAGTCTTCAAGGGCTCTGAAATTTCTCTGTCCAGACATCACAGAGATTCGGGTAGATCTTGAACCTTTAGAAATCATTGCTGAACACACCCAATCACTTGCATGTATTGGGTCTGGTCCTGGACACATCTGACGGCAGAGTGCTCCCTTCCTAGAAGATGATTCAGGTTCTCTGGTCTTGGGTTCAAAGTCTTCAATCTAGGAGCCATCTAACTCTGTGCATGCAATTCTTGAGGCTGATGGTAACTTTCTTTGAGGTAGTTTCCTTTGACTTTCATATATTCTCACCAGAATCTCCCCAATCAGAATTTTTTTGTTTTGGAGATTGGAAGCAGATGAATAAATGGTCAAGAAGAAAGAGAGAGGAGATAATTTGATATACAACGCATTCTGAGTTTCCTTTGACCAATATCTCTGCCCAATATACTCTAGCTATCTGCAACACAAAATGTTGTCATTGTAAGACAAATCCATACCGTCTCTGGACAGATTTGGTTGACAGCAAAGACTGGGCTACTCCTGGCTTGGTGTCTCAGGGATACAGTTCTGGAGTCGGAAGTCCTTTTTTCATATCATTTGCAAGATTATCAAAACCAAAGTCAGCCTGTTGGGCTGGGGAAGATGAGTTTTAGGTACTCTGTCAGTACAGAGTACTTGGTTGTTGAAGGAATCTCATCTCTCAATATGCATCTGGAGCATCAGACAATTTTGCTGTTTTTAGCATTGGACCCACCTGTTGGAGAGCTCTCTGATCCAGATTGACCAGCATCTGCCACTCCCTTCTAGCAGGGACAGGTTTCTGCCCTTTCCATTCAGTTTCAGAGATTGTTAGCCTCTAACTCTTCGGTTAAGGCTTTGTACAGTAGGTCTCCTAATCTGTTTCCCAGTGGGATCTGACTAAGGCTCTCACTGCACTTCAGAAACCACTCTTTGAAATCCTTAGACATATTTCTTTATCTACTATCACCCCCAAGGTAGATTTCCTTCTAGCTATCACCTCTTCAACTATTTTCTGAACTTCAACCTTATCTTACAAAGAACCCTTTTTATCTTGATCTTTGAGCTCCTCTTGGGCTTTTTGGCATCGGGCAACTATTTTCCAGATTTGTAAAGCTGTCATCTGGTCTTCTGTTCGCACATTCTCTAAGTTCTACTAAGTGGGTGTTTATGCCTCATCTTCTGTCAGCTTCAGGCTTAGGGTTTTTCAGGCAGCTATTTGAGCTGCCTGTAGTCCCCATTTTTGTTACATTGGGTCTGTTAAGAGTTGTTACTGTTACCTAACGCTCTGTCATACTGTTTTTGAACTCTCTGATGGTGTGAATTCCTGTGTCCCTTAACTACTTACCTACCATTGCAGTTTTTTTAAAAATGTTCTCATTCATGTTAAAATTTGCATTTCTCTTACGTTCATTGGCGGACTCAGGCTCTTCTTTGTCCATTACCAAACAGGGTTTTATTGCCCCACCTACAGTAGTAGGACATGAGGTAGAAAACCACTTGGCACCTCTTATGGGCAGTCCTCTCTAGGCATGAATCCCCCTCTCTCTTATAGGCCTCCAATCATTCTTCTTAGTGTTCAGGAGTATGAACATCTTATGCTAAGGGCTGATGGAGGTCTAGCTCATCCCCCACCCCACTCCTTCCCTGGGATGTGGGGTTTTCCTGCTGCTCTGGGTATTACATGTCCTACATGGATCCATTGCTGAGCGCACTGTGCCCTGGTGGTCTGGTGGTGGTCTGCAGGTGCAGGGGCAGCGATGCTTGTCCTGAGGATAGGTGCCTTGTGGTGGTGGGCGAATGTGAGGTGTGGGTACTCTTGTATCTCTGGTGACTACTTGGTTGTCAGCTGGGGCTCTCCTTATGCCAGCCTGCAGGTGGGAGTGCACCATGCGTTCGGACTGGTTGCAAATTTAGGCCACGCCTTTTCAACCAACTGGGCAGGCTCTGGTCCCGCCATCCTGACAATGGGCATCTGCTGTGATGTCAGCATCACATGTAAAGGAATTGTTAGGCGAGGGGGCGGACCCTGAGTAGGTTGATGGTACACCCCCGATTTGCCTATGTGCATCTGCCCCTTTCTGTGCTTGGCCCCTAGTTGCAGCATCTATTGGGTGATTGCAGCTAGCAGCCATCTTTTTGTGGCCTCGGCTGGCAGCCATTTTGTAGTTGGCAGCAGTGTCTGTGTTTGCACGCACAACAGGAAAAAAAAAAAAGTGAAATGTCACTTCACCATGTTAGCTTTCACTGGCGGCCTAGACGTATGCCAGTGGACAGAACTAAAGTGGTTAGTGCTGGCTGAGCTGCGCTGCACCGCTTCTGCCTAGGGCATCAACCCTATTAACCTCCACCCTACCTGTCTCAGACGTAGTCTCCAGGAAGGGGGAGGGGGGGCTGGAGCTTTCTGTGGGCCCCTGGAAGTGGATTAACCACCTGGGCTTTGATAGTGCCCCCCAGTGGTTCATTGGGATCAGAATGTATAGGTATATGGTATAGGCAACTGTCTTCCTGGTGGGTCCGCAATGTTTTTCCTTTGGACTGCCTGTGAGGGGCGGACACTGTTGAGGCGTCCAGCTCATAATGTCAGATTTTCGAAGGTGTCGTCAGTGGATGCAGGGTTTTCCCCCTCGTGGCCTCGGGATGCCTGCTGAGCCTCATGGCTCCTAGGTTGGAGTGAATGTTCCCTTTGTTTGGCCATGCATGCTTGGGCATGGGTGCCTGTGTTCTTCCTCTCAGTGCCAAGAACTGTGCTACGGGGGATATTTCAGGGCTGTGAGCCCTGACAGATAGGTCTGTTGGGATTTTGCCTACACTTCACACCTTGCCAACTTGGCATGCGCCCTTGGGACATCCATGATGGCTTCTTTGGTCCCTAGGTGCTTGGGGTGAGTTACCCCTTGGGCAGGCCCTCTCATGAAGTGGACCTCCTCTCCCGTTGTCACCCCCACCCCCTTTGCCTGGTTGATTGGGCACCCATGCTTCCTGGGGTGGGGCTCCATGCTTTAAGAAGGAAAATAGCGTAGACTTTCGGCCTTTGATGGGCCTGCGACTCTCGCCGACAAGTCTTGAGGGCTCTGTATGGGACTGTTCAGGTTCTGCTGTTTCAAGGAGTGATTGTTCCTGTGTTGGAGTTGGAGCAGTTTCTGGGTTTTTACTCCAGTCGTTTCACAGTTCACTGACTGATGGGGTTTGCCCGATCCTGAACCTCAAGGACCTGAATGCCTTCTTGCAGGTTCACAAGGTCACACTGGAATCCATTTGATCAGTGGTGGCCTCCCTTCAAGGATGCTTGCCTGCACATTCCCATTTGCATGGTACATCAGTAGGGACACAGATTATCGAGTAGTAGCACTGCCCTTCAGTTTGGCCAACGCTCCCTGGGTGTTTACCAAGGTCTTTGTCCCAGTCCTGGCCTTGCTGAGACAATGGGGATTGCTGTTGTTGGTTACTTGAATGACTTGTACCCTGTGTGCAGAGTCTTGCCACCCCTGCTGGACAGTGGGGAGATCACCAAGCATCCTTTCTAGGACAGATCACCTACAGGCTCTGCCAATCAGGATCCAGTCGGACGTCTCTGTAGTATCGTATGTCAATCAGAGGAGCATGAGAAGTGCAGCAGCGGCATTGGAGGCTTCTCATATCCTGAGATAGGCAGAAAGGTTAATTCCGGCTCTGTCTGACGTACATATTTCAGGGGTCAAAAACTGACAAGCAGATTATCTCAGTCATCAGAGGCTGGATCAGGGAGAGTGGTTCCTGCACCTGGAGGTGTTCCATCAGCTCTGCCTTCACTGGGGGCCGCCAAAAGTAAGTCTTACCTCGACCTGAGGTTCCAAGACTTGTAGCAAGATTGTTGGATCCTCTGGTGGATGCAATGGATGTGCTAGTGATGTGAGGGATCAGTACAATCTTATTTATGCCTTCCGGAATTTATGATTCCTTGTCTATTATGCTAGATAGAGACCAAAAGGATCCCACTGGACTTACCTCTCCATCTGTGGTGCAGTGGTGGCAGATGCCTCTTTGGAAGGACCTACTGTCTCAGGGGCCTATGTCTTCCCCCTGCTTTCCTTCACTGAGTTTGACAGCGTAGCTGCCAGGTTATGAAAGACTGGGGATGCCTGTCTTGGTGTTCCATTTATGTTAAAGGCTCCTAACTCCCAGAAGATTTATCATTGCAGCTGGATAACTTATATTGTTTAGTGTGCAGCCTTGGGGTTCCATCCTCACTCTTTTTCTGTGGTGTGGTTGTTGGCCTTCCTCCACCATGGTGTGGATCAGAAGCTTGCATTGGGGACAATCGAAGGTCATGGCTCTTTTCTCTGCTCTAGCTGTTTAATTTCAGTGTCCCCTGGCCACACATCTTGGGTTTGCACCTTCCTCCAGGGGGTTCATCATGTGCGGTCCCCTGTGCACTTCCCGTTGCCACTGTGGAATTTGAAATTGGTGCGGTTGGCTCTTCAGAATCCTCCCTTTGGGAACATTCGAGATACTCCCTTACGCAGTAAGTTGCCTTCCTTGTCGCTATCTCCTTGGCTCAGCGGGTACTGGAGTTGGTTGCCTAATCTTGTACGCTGCCTTATCTGGTTTTCCACCAGGACAAGGTGATGCTCTTACCTTCCCCTTTTTTCCTTCCTAAGCTGGTGTCAGGTTTTCACTTAACTGAGGATATTGTTCTTCCTTCTCTGTGTCTTCGGTCATTGCATCCTAAGAAGGTCGCTCTGCACTCCTTGGATGTAGTTCGCCTCACTTGTACCTCTCTGTGACGCCTGTTTTTTTGGAGATCCACTTCTCTTCCAGTGCTCACGGATGATCGGATGGCCTCTTCTGCCACTATTTCCTGTTGGATTCAGCAGATGATTGTGCAGACGTATGCCATTAAGAAATGGGAATCTCCTTTCCTTGTTATGGCGCACTGCACTAGGGTGGTTAGTACATCCTGGGCATTCCGACATCAAGTGTCTGTTTCTTAAGTTTGCAAGCTGCAACCTGGTCACCTGTGTATGGGTTTACTAAGTTCTATAAAGTTGATGTGTTGGCATCTTTCAATGCTAATTTTGGCTGCAAAGTTTTGCAGGCCACTCAGGCACCCCTTGGGGTGGTTCGGAGTGCTGGCAGATTGCCTGGAGTTTTTCCTCCGTTGGTTTGCCCACCCCTCATTGTGGCACTGCTTGGGGACATCTTTGGTAATGGATAAAGAAGAGGCTGTGCCCGTCAATGAACATAAGAGAAAACAGGTTTTTTTTTTTTGTTACTCATCGTATCTTTGTTCATTGACAGAAACAGCACCCCCCATGGCATTTTCTTTTTTGACACTGCTTGTGAGGCAAGGAGTTTTTTTTTCTGCCTAGTGTTCTACGCCTGTAGGTGAGGCTATAAAATCCTGTTTGATAATGGATAAAGAAGAGGAGGCTGTGTCTGTCAATGAACTTAGAGAAAGAGAAAGGGATTTTATGGTAACAAAAATCCTGTTTATTTTGCTAGAAGAGAAGACTGTATTCACCAAAAAAATCCTTTTGGGACCATTAGGTGACAAAGGTCCTAAACCCATTGTGTTTATGATCATACTCTCCATGTTGTTTTGCTACAAAAGTAAGGCATACTGACAGTAGGAAGGAATATCCTGGGCTGACCTAAAGTTTTTATATTTGCCAGCGTCCAGTCCTTCTGTAGGTGGCAGAATAGCATGTCAGTTGCCAAATCCTACTGTAGGTGGCAGTATAATATGAGAGCCTAAATGTACTGTATTTACACTTTTGAGAAAGTCACACAGTTAATATATAGTCTCATGGTAGACAAGTGCATCTAAATTTGAGACTGACTGTCCCAAGGACAGATTTAAAGTGGTTGCAAACCTGAGACATGAAATGAACAAAGCATATCCCTCTATAGTGTGTACTTGTCTCAATCCAGAGCACGAAGTGTCATTTCTCTCTCTGCTGCCTGTTCCTCTGCTATCAGCATAAATTCCTTCTGACAAGTTTTCCTGACACCAAGAGAATAAAGGTGATGCAGGAGAGAGCTCTAATACACCGTTTGTGATTGACAGCTTTATTTCTGTCCCTGTGTGAAGAGGATGTGTCCCGTCCCTCCATTCAGCTCTCACTGATCTCTGCAGAGTCTAAGTTCAACTCCCCACTCCAACGTTTAAGATTCTGTGTAAATTCTGCACTGTGAATGAATGCACAGGACAGATGGCTACAGATAAACAGGTACAACTTATGTATGAGGATTTGTTTCATCTTTGTGTATCACCTGAGGCTAATCAATTCACTAGGTATATGTAAGGGTTTACAATCATTTTAAGCTTTCCCTGATCAGCATAATGTAGTGAAATCACCGTGCAACCTCGTCCAATCAAAGAGCACTTTGCTAAGCAGGCAACCTCTTGTTCACAATGCAGCAGAGCGGCTGCTCACCATGGGACCTAGAAGCTAGTGGACATCACTGCACTGCGATTCCACAGGTATGGTATATGCATAGTTACATCGGTATATGCATAATTACTTTAGGAATTCCAGGTATGAACATGTTTGCATATTTGCATTGGTCCAAGCTGGACTAATGTAACTATGTAAATATATTCATACCTGGAATTCCTTAAGTAATTTTATGTTTGTAATATCCAGAAAGTGACAGAATATGTGTTTTTAAAAAATGTCACATTTACTTCTGGAACATTACAGTTATGAATGTGTGAAGTGTTAAAATTTCAGCCCACGGTGTCAGTGAGATTAGGTAACAAATAGTGAAGATCTAGCAGACTATCAAATTCTGCTTCACCCAGAACTTAAATTAAAAGCTGGAGTTCCACTGTAGTGATTGCTGTAAATATGTCTGTAACTCTATTTCCACCACTAACCTGCAGCACATGGGTCCTTGACGCTCACAGCATGTTTTTGCACTTCCGTGATGACTCAATATATCCTTTTCTATATTTGAAAAGGAAATACGCCAGGTATCTGGGGAAAAAAAAAGCAAACTGTCATCTACATGAACTGAAGTAAATGATGCTAGAACTGTGTGAAATGGGAGGTTTCCAGCATAATTCATTGACAAAGAAATTATCTGTATTGTTCATTCATGCACAACAGCATCCATTTTGGTATAAAGGTTTTGAACTGTCTTTCTTGTTTATAGACTAAATGTTAAGCTCACTCTGTCACCCCCTCCCATTTCTACACTATTTAGTTTTGCAAAATTTAGGGATAGTATCCACCATATGAAATATGGCTGCTTGCTGTTTTTTAATGACATTGCACACCACCCTTTTCTTATCTTGGGTATAAAATAAGATCTGACAAACTTTAGAACAGATGCTTTGACAGAATCTGGTGTCCAGTCTTTCTGTTTTATATGTTCTCTGCAAATGCATATTTAGTTCAATTTCAGTCTCACAAGAAAAACGCATAACCGTTGTTGGAGAGTCAGGAGCAAGGAGTGGACAGAAGAAACATCCATGATCAAGACCATCGGAAATGCAGACCCTTAGGTAAGTTGCCCCTAAGCTTGATTTTATTTCTGCCTTTCTTTTCTGGTTGGGTAACGTGTGAATGTGGACAAGGATGAACCTCTGCAGTTCCCTACACTGACCCTTTGGCTGGCCATAGACGGACCGATAAACGAAAAATCGGTTGTTGCTGGCAGTGATGCTGCCACCAATGTCCATGAAAAACGGCCGTTTTTTGTGGATTTTCCAGCATGACCGATAATAGTAAATGAGAAGATCCACGAAAAACGGCCGACGGTATTGCCCCACTACCGGCGTGAATATCTGCCGATTTTTTTTTGCGGACGAAAATTCGGCCGATAAACGACCTGTCTATGGCCTGCATTTGTCTGCCTGGGTCAGAGGTGCATGGTATGGTCAGAATAAAACCTACAGAGAAGAGAAAAAGAGGGTCTTTTCGGTGAGAGTTTTGTCTGTTGTCATAAACCACTTATATCTATGTAAATAAATGAAGACTATGCTTGTAAATCTGCAGATCTGCTATACTATTTGGGTAAGAGGGTATGGGCACAAGCAGAGAAGAGAAGACTAGCCAGTCAGTCTCTTTACTGGATTGGGCCATCTCTTTGCTGAATATATGGGGATGTCTCTGTACTGGAATAGGCCATCTCTTTGCTGAATATATGGGGATGTCTCTTTACTGGATTGGGCCAACGCTTTGCTGAATATATAGGGATGTTTCTACTGGATTGGGCCATCTCTTTGCTTTACCAACAAGACCAAGTTGCTGCTGCTGTAGTAACTACCAATTGCTAAAGCAGGGTGGCCACATAGTGAGTTGATGCAGCTCACATTCCTCTGGCTGCAGGGGGAAGGCAGAGTGATATAATCTGCATTCAACCTCTCCCTGCAGACCAGATGCTGGTTTGGGCACCACTCCAGTCAGAGGTCAGCCATGTGGAAGTGCTGCATGTAGCCTGTAGGACTGCTCAGTGCTTACTTTAGACTGTTCTGGAGACAAGTTGTTAGACATCACAATGGTAAATTGACAATGTTGCTGGATGTGGCCCTGTACTGTGACCATTCCTTTGTTGGATTGTGCTGTTTGTGACTGTCTCTTTGTTGGATTGGGCTGTCTCTTTGCTATATGGGAATGTCTCTTTGCTATATGGGGATACTTGGGATTTCATAGCCAGAAAAGGAGACGACAATGTTGTACCGGACATTTTTCTAGACAGTTCTAAACAAAGGTCGTCTGAAGCAATTGACAGTGGGACCAGATAGAAAGTCATCTGTGGCTGTCCAGGAACATATCTTTATCCCAATTATATTTAGTTCTGTTTCTAGTGTGATTGGAGACCTTTATAATGGGGACTGCTGACCAGTATTAGACCCACTGCTACCATAGGAGAATTGGGTGCATTGAGCCAGTTAGTTATGAGAGGCAATAAATTGCAGTGAGTGAGGTGGCAAGAGGGGAGTGTGATTCACCTTAACCACTTCCTGTCCGGACACTTTTACCCCCTTCCTGTCCAGGGCAATTTTCAGCTTTCAGCGCTATCACATTTTGAATGACAATTGCGCGGTCATGCAATACTGTACCCATATGAATTTTTTACCATTTTTTTGAGACAGATAAAGCTTTATTTTGGTGGTATTTATTCACCGCTGGGATTTTTATTTTTTTTACTATGTAAATGAAAAAGTCCAAAAATTTTGAAAAAAAAGTGTTTTTTTTAATAAAATTTTGCAAATAAATAATATTTCATCCTAAATCTTGGCCAAAATTTATTCCGTTATTTTTTTAGTAAAAAAAAAAAATCCAAATTAGTTTATAACCAAACATTATAATTTTTAAACATTTTTTTTTACATTTTTATTTTATTTTTTTTATATTATTTTTTTATTTTTATTTTTTATTTTTACATACTGTCACCCTAGCAGTACAGTGTCACCATGGTGACACTGTACTACTTGTGGGGGGTGATGAAGATTTTTTTTTTTTTTTTTTTTACACTGATTGCTTTTACACCCATATAGGATGTAAAAGCAATCATTTCTCTTTCTCTCTGTCTGCATTCTTGCAGTCATTGAGAAATACTGAGTGAGCTGTGATTGGTCACAGCTTGTCACATGGTACAAGGCTGTTGTGAATAGCCTTGTACCATGTGACCTCTGTGATCATTCACAGATTTCACACGTAGTAAGCAATGATGTCACAAGTGACATCTTGCTTACTACTTTGCATGTGATCACTGATTCGCCAATCAGTGATCACATGACCGGGACCTCGTACAGAGGTCCCGTCCGACGATCGGTGTTTCACTGTGTCCGGAGGACACAGCGGACACCGGATCGCGGTGGTGCGCGCTCCTAGGGAGCGCGCACAGCTAGAAAAGGCGGGTGCCGTTTAGGAACGGCAACCCGACCTTGGACTGCCACCGCCCTGCCGTTTATAAACAGCAGGCGGACGGCAAGAGGTTAAGTACAGTGGTGTTGTGAATTACTCAAGGGACCGACCATCAGACTTTAATGGACTTTTATGAAGGACATTATTATTGCCTACTATATCATTACACATTTTTGTCACAAGGTGGTGGAGATGTAACAGTCTTTCTGTATAGATCTGTAGAGCGCTACTAGAGCAACTAGTGTGTTTCACTGTGGCTTGTTTAGATATATGGGGATATCTTTTTCCTGCATTGGGCTGGCTCTTTGCTTCAATAAATGGGGATGTCTCTGCTAGATTGGGCCATCTCTTTGCTGGATTGGGCTGTCTATTTGCTTGAATACATGGGGATGTCTCTTTGCTGAACATATGGGGCCGTCTTTTTGCTGGATTGGGATGTCTCTTTGCTGAATATATTGGGTTGTCTCTTTGCTGGATTGGGGAGTCTTTGCTCTATTAGAATATCTCTTTGTGGAATATATAGGGATGTCTCTTTGCTGGCTAGGTAGCTCTCTTTGCTGAATATATGGGGTTGTTTCTTTGCTGGATTGGGAAGTCTCTTTGCTGGATTGGAATATCTCTTTGAATTTATGGGGATGTCTGCTGGATTGGGATGTCTTTGCTGAATACATGGAGATATCTCTTTACTGGATTGGGCCCTCTTTTTGCTGGTACATGGGGATATCTCTTTACTGGATTGGGCCATCTCTTGCTGAATGTATGGGGATGTCTCTTCACTAAACTGGGCCATCTTTCTGCTGAATATATGGGGCTATGTTTTTGTTGAATAAATGGGGATGTTTCTTTATTGAATTGGGCCATCTCTTTGCTGAATATATAGGGCTGTCTCTTTGCTGCATTGTGGCCAAAATATAATTCAATACTGTTAAATCTTGAGGGTATTGATGACTTGGAATATGCTTTTCGTTTTCATAGATTACGTTGTAAGAGTGTTAAAATAAAAGTGGGTGCACTGAAGGACTCAGTAGGATGGCCAGCTTGCGGATTCGGTGGGACAGGCAGTGGGAAGACCCTTGGGAATGTTGGCGGCAGGCCTGGGAGGGGCCAGGCCTAAAGCTTTGTACGAGGCCCCAAAATTTCTGATGGCTGCCCTGCCTGTAGACATCCTGATGAAATTAACTATATTAGTAAACATAAGACACATCTTCAGGGTAGCACAGTAGGCACAGCTGGTAGTTTTCTTGAAATAGAGGAAATTGGCCATATTGTATTTTTTGACTCTTGTCCAAAACAGTGTTATTCTGATAAAAAGACACACCATTTATAAGGTGTGATCTTACTTGTGTATTCATGTGTTTGGGTAATCAAAGACAAATCAACATATCCTATGCAATACAGTGTGTGTTAAAATATGAGTAATGTACACATCTAGGTGTAAATAGGCTCCTAAGAGCATAAAGGATGCAAAATATCACTAAGACCCCAGTCACACTGGATGCGAATTGGCATGCGATTTGCATGCCATGCAACTTTGCTAATTGCATGCCAAATTGCAACCTATTGTCCGCAATTCGAGCGGTCATAACGGTGCGGTTCCGACTCGTTTGGAGCCGCACCGATTTCTAAAGTAGTACATGCACTACTTTTGGTGCAATTTGCATAGACATCTGTATCAGTTGTTTTGCAAATTGCACATGAAATCATCATGTTATCCAACTTTGAAATCGTGCGACTTACAGTGAAGTTCAAAGTAGGGTTTGATGTGACCGGGGTGTAAAGGTCACCTTGGGCATTCATTGTTGCATCGAAAAGTCTTTGTGGTTTGATACATTTAGACATTTCCCCTCTAATCTCTGTTGAAGGGTCAGACTGCAAACTGGTTTTCTTCCCAAGCATTTACCAAGTTTTGTAGTGGATGGCAGTGTCCAATGTATAAAAGGGATAGACTGTTTGCAAATGAGAAATAACAGCTAGCATAAAGCAGAACTCAAAGCACATACTTTATATAACCCTATTGTGAATCCAGGTATTCATTAAAGAGCAATTAATTATTACATATAGTATATACCGTGGGGAAAAATAATTATTTGATACCCTGCAGATTTTGTAAGTTTGCCCACTTACAAAGAGATCACGTGTATTTTAAAACTAGAGACAGAATATCAACCAAAGATCTAGAAAAACACGATACAAATGTTATAAATTGAGTTGCAGTTCAGTGAGTAAAATAAGTATGTGGTCCCCAAGCAAAACATGACTTAGTACTTGCTGGAGACACCCTTGTTGGCAAGTACAGAGGTATGATGTTTCTTGTAGTTGGTTACCAGATTTGCACTCATCTCTGGAGGGATTTTGGTCCACTCTTCTTTACAGATTTCCTCTAAGTCCTTAAGATTCCTTGGCTGTTGCTTGAACTCTAAGTCTCAGCTCTCTCCATAAATTTTCTATAGGATCAAGGTCTGGAGACTGGCTAGGCCACTCCATGACCTTAATGTGCTTCTTCTTGAGCCACTCCTTTGTTGTCTTGCTGATATGTTTTGGGTCATTGTCATGCTGGAAGACCCATCTTCAGTGTTCTGGCTGAGGGAAGCAGGTTCTCATCCAAGATTTTACAATACAATGCCCCTCAATGCAGCAAAGTTGGCCTGTACCTTCAGCAGAGAAAAAGCCCCAAAGCATAATGTTTCTACCTCTGTACTTGACTGTAGGGATGGTGTTCTTAGGGTTATAGTCAGCATTTTTCTTTCTCCAAACACGGCAAATCGAGTTAATGCCAAAGAGCTCGATTTTGGTCTCATCTGACCACACCACTTTCTCCCAATCCTTCTCTGAATCATTTAGATGTTCAGTGGCAAACTTCAGACGGTCCTGTACATGTGCCTTCTTGAGGAGGGTGACCTTGCGGGCACTGCAGGACTTCAATCTATGGTGGTGCATTGTGTTAATAGCGGTTTGTTTGGTGACTGTGGTCCCAACTGCCTTGAGATCATTCACAAACTCCTCCCGTGTAGTTCTGGGCTGATCCCTCACTTTTCTCATGTTCATCCTTGCCCATAGTAGTGAGGTTTGAATGGAAGAAAGATTCTGGGGCCTGGTGTCTTTTATACATTAGGAGTTGTCGTTGGGAGCACCTTCTTAAATTGACTGGACTAATCTGTATACCACAAAGCCAGTCTGTGGGAGCCAGAAATATTGGTTGATAGGGGAGCAAATATTTATTTTACTCACTGAACTGCAATTCAATTTATAACATTTGTATTGTGTTTTTTTTCTGGATTTTTGGTTGATATTCTGTATCTATCATTTAAAATACACCTATGATAAAAGTTATAGATCGTTCATTTCTTTGTAAGTGGCAAAATTACAAAATCTGCTGGGGATCAAACAATTATTTTTGCTACTGTATACTATATATTGCAACAGTGCTGTGCCATGCCATAGTGGAAAAATTTTGTATCACCCATGGTTTTCATCCAGGCAGGTTGAGGGGCTTCAGAGTGCTTGTGTCACACAGAAACTTGGTTTTAGTAACTGGAGTTTAGAGCTGGAGTTTAGAGGCTTGAGAGGGACTCCAATCCTAGGTCCAGGGTTTGTAAACAAACAGCACACTAATGGGGCTGGTGTGTACAGGGGTTTATTAAAGACATGACTAGGGTTCAGGACTCCACCCGGGCATACAGAGGAGGTCTCTGCCCAGGAGTAAGGAGGGCTGTACCTGGGAGACAGGTAGGAGTCAGTGTATCAGGAAGTTTGCTAGATGTAAGCACATAGCATGTGTGAGACAACTCTCTGGGAGATATAGATAAATGACCTGAAATGTGAGGTCAGAGTAGCAGCACTGCAAGTGTAAGCTAGGTTGCTGATAAATATTTGTTTTGTGGCTGAGATATGCTGAAAAAAGCTCAGAGGGAAACTTGTATGATGTCTTTAACTTTGTTTTAATGAAAGTGGGCAAGCAAAGCTCTTATAAAGAAGATTAGAATTGGTGTTAAACCAAAAAAACAAATTTTTTTATGAGCAATTTACCAGTTAGATGTAATAGCTGCATTAGTATTTTTTTTTTTTGGGGGGGGGGGGGGTGCTTTTTGTTTTTTACCTGGTGATCTGGCCAATAAGTCTGTTGTTTTCCAGCAGAATTAGCTGTTTTGCAGATTTGCAGTTTTGCAGGTTTGAGACAAACAATTTACTACTGACAGGGTGCTTACAGTGATCAGCTTTTATTTATGTAAAACCTTTATCCCAAAAAGGGAAAAACAGTTGCTGCAACTGCTTATAAAATGTTAGAGTTTGGTTTTAATTTGTTAGTATATCTAAATTTGCTAATGCACCTAACACTCCCCTCACCCAGATTAACAATGCTGCTGTCCAAAGGTGTCTCTGTGCTCCTTCATGTAGAGCGGATACAGGATACGTCACTGGCCAGATTACCAGGTGCAAACAGGAAAAAAAACCTAAAATGAATTCTGAATTTATAATCTGCAGTTCTGTATATTACATTTTTAATACCGCTTTAAAGCAGAACTCCAGGCAAAAACGTCTTTATATGCTCTTGTTGCTAATTTCCTATCTTCACTGAATATGTCATCCATCTTCTGGTTCACTCTGTTGCTCTGAAATAGTCTATTCATTTTCAAATCAAACTGTTAGTTCTCTTTGCTTTCCTGTTTGTAGGACCAGTGTCCCCTATGCCTCTTTCCCCCAGCCACTGGTCTTGGCACATCCCTTCTGTAGTTCTTTCTTCAGGAAGCAGTGATGTAATTCAGCCCCACTTACAGTGGTGGACGGACCAAGACTCTCAGACACAATCAGCATGTACAGGCCTAGTGTACCCACCCACATTCACTACAATTCCCTGTGATTGATAGGAACTGTAGTTTCCTTTTACTGAAGAGAGAGGAGAGGATATAATGTAATCCCTGCTTTTACACCTCATCCTTGGCAGAGCAGATGCTGTTATCCTTTGACTTACAGAGATGAGGTCATGAAAATTCAATTAGACATTTCTCCTAATTGGTAAGGCTTTTCAAAATTGTATTAATTGTTTAGTGTGTTGTGTAGGGGGGTGTACTAATGGGTAATTTTTTTTTGCCTATCCCAGAGATCTTCTTTGAGCGAGTGGCTGATTCCTAAATGCTCTATTGTTTGAAACTAGTTCCTACAATATAGTATATTGTTTATATTAGTTTACTATTGGCCTCTGTACAGTAGAGGGAGGAACAGCACTCGGAGACAATTCTGTCCTTTAAAAATTTGAATGTGGATAGAGGAGAGAGCAGGGTTATGACTTCGCTAATGTGCCAATTCTCATTCACTTATACACTAGCTGTGCTGTCTGGCAGGGGTGTCTATTTCACAAGTCTGGCTTTTTTTAACTTGCTCATAAAGTAAATCTTACATATTTCAACCCTGTCTTTAGCTGTTTCACTGACCATCAGCTTTAACAACATCATAACTACACAAAATCTAAGTAAACAATCATACATCTTACCTTTTTTGTCTTTTTGTTTGGCTACCATGTAGCATGGCTCTTTTCTATATTTTTGTTTTTCCTTTGTGCCAAGCCAGCTGTCAATATTCATTCCATTGCTTGCATTTTCGGGCCATTGTCGTATTTGAATAGCAAGAACTAGATCCACCGATATATTTTCAGGTTTATTAGGAATAGTCAGAGTAATTGCTGGGCTTGAAGGGCTTTTCCTCTCTAAGGAAGCTGGTTTGCCTGTTGTAAAGACAGACTTATTGTACTTGTGGAGTGCTATCAGGTAGTCACATAAATGAACATATCACAATCTAGAAATTTACCTCAAGGACCACCTACTAGTAAATTGAGATTATAGATCATTCATGCAGGCATAAAAAAAATGTTATCTCAAAATCATCTGATCTAAAATAAAAAGACAGGCAAACAGCTAAACATAGGCCCTCTAGCACATTGACAGTCAGTTGTGCCAGTTGTGACAGATTTATTTTTTCTTTAAAGGGTAAGTTCACCTTTTGTAACATGTTACACCCATATCCAGAGTGTAACATGTTACGGTCAGACCGCCCCCACTCCTCCCTTTGACAGCCAGTGGGGGATCATCTTCTCCTCCCTCGCTAGCTGTCAAATAAAAAAAAAAAAACTGTGGCCATGCAGAGCTCCGCCCACCCAGCTGCGTCACTCATTCACAGTCCTCTCCGAATGAGAGACTACAAGTCCCACCAGCCTTAGCGGCTGTCAGCTTGCAGTTCTCAATGAACTACCATGGCGTTGCGGAGCACATGCCATGGTAGTTCATTGAAGGATGCCCGTATGGGAAGTACGAGCAAGTAGATATACTGACAGGTCTGCAGGAGATCTGCATGGCACCAGCGATCACCTGATCACTGGTGCAATGCTTTACAGTCTCCTGCAGACAAAAGTAATAAATGCACATTTTTTTTTAGCTGAAAAAAAATGTGCATATTATTTTTTTACTGAAAGGTAAACTTGTCTTTTAACAATGTAGCTTCTCCATTCAGTCAAAGCAAAATTTACAAATTTCCCCTGGGCATATGGGTCCAGGAGGGTTGCTTAATCACACTTATCTTTGCCTAAGGAAGGGGGAGGCATAGGGTACCTGTTCAAATATCAACAAGCAGTCTAAATCACTTGATTGGATTATGCAAATGCCTTTAAAACATGGGTAGGTTTGGAGCAAGACATGGCCTCATTCCAGCTACAAACTTTACCATGGCAATACTCTATGCTCCCACCTTTGGTAAAGCTTCACCCACTAATAAGCTTGTACAGTACTTTCAAACTCAAACTGTATCCTTCCTCCTCCACTGAACCAATAGGAATGATGCCGGTCATCAGCTCTACGGGTTTCCCTCCTAGGTCCTCTGACCTAAAAAACTTTCATAGCTACAAGCCAGTTTTGGCTCAAAAAATTCTCGTGTGCAGGCCGGAGGAAATCTGTTTCAGAAATTCAATCAGTGATACCCCCCCTCCCCTAGTGAACACCTGCCAGGCCTTTCATGTCAGTCTCTCTACCATCAAATATCAGACCGTGAATATGAAGCCGTGTTACTCTTGAGAACCAGTGTACTGATGAAAACAGCAGCATGCATTCTTTATCTCCTTAACCTTATTACTAGTCTGGGTGGAGAGTATGCATGGACCTTTCTTAGTAAATGGGAGAATGATCTGGTCTGAAGATTCAATCTGTGCACTTTACACTGTTTTATGGCAATGCATTTTTCTATTTTCTGTAAGGGACTTTTTCTGAGATTTTGTTGATGTATATATTTATGTATTCTTATTTGTACTTGTGTATTTGAGTGTGCTGCAATAATTTGTGTTCACATTGTGACCCAATTTAGCCCTGCGTCAGGTAAATCCGAAAATAAATAAATATACTGTGTGTGTATGTATATGTGTATATATATATATATATATATATATATATATATATATATATATATATACACGCAGTATCTCACAGAAGTGAGTACACCCCTCACATTTTTGTAAATATTTTATTATATCTTTTTACGTGACAACACTGAGGGGGAAGCGTGGACCAGTTAGTCAGGAGCCGCCCTAGGTGGCTCATAAGTCAGCATTTACATTGAGTTTTTTTCAGCACACTACTTGCATAGCTGTATCATGGTGATCTGTATTACTAGTGGAGGCGCACAAGTTTGCGCTATCTGAAGTGATGTCTTCCAGAAAGTGGGTGAGGTGCAGCACAAATGGGTGCACTAATGTTCCACCGCCAGGTACTGAGGAACCTAGCCAAAGGTCTGCTGTAATATCCTCTCCTTACAGGCCAGAAGCGACTGGGCAGTCTCAACCGCTGCATCTATCTGGCATTGTGGCTGCTACTGGGGCTTCTGCCTCAGCATATGTAACCAAGGATGATCTTGCTTCAGCCTTAGTGGGTTTAGAAGATAAGGTAAGGTAAGGTCTGGATTCAGACTACTTCCCATAGAAACCTCTGATTTTACTTATTCTTCCCTGGTCTCTTTGAAGCCTTCACAGAGTACTTAGGCCTTTCCAGTGCATCCTCTTCTGGAGCAAATTATGTATGTTGACTGGGAACACCCAGACAGAGTTTTTGTTCCACCAAGGAGGTTTTCTGTTTTGTACCCCATGAAACAAAAGTTTAAGAATTGGGGGTTTCCTGTAGTGGATGCAGCTGTTTCATCCCTGAATAAATTTTTAACATGTCCTGTGGATAATGAACAGGTTTTCAAGGACCCAGCGGATAATAAGCTGGAGTCTCTCCTTAAGACCTATCCTTCTCCCTGGCAGGTTCTGACACACAGCCAGCTGTGGCAGCTATTGGCATTTAAATAAATGTGTGCAGCACTAAAATAATGAAATTGGTATGAATATGCTACCAATGTAATGGTGAAAAAGTGGGGTAGAGAGGTGGAACGGTGAGGTTCCCCCTAGAGGTTCCCCCTAGAGGTTCCCCAAGAACCCCTGTGAGGGGAGAGACGAGCCATGCAGAGCATCATCAACACGGTGAACGGCAAGTTTCTGGAAGTAGCCGAGTACTGGACCCCTGTGCTCAAGCTCTCCCTTTAGGAGGGATTCCACCCCTGGATGGATCGGTGACTGGTGATAGGAAGTGGGCAGATATGCTTCAAGGAGTCATTTTCATCCAATGCTGGCTTGCTTTTTGCTTCTGGTGAGTGCATAGTGGTGGAGGAATACCACAGAAGTCAGTCATTTTTGGCCACCATTTGATCACATCACTTTTGGGACTATTACTTGGTTAAGTTTTTTTGGGACATATCACAGTGGATTATATTTATATCCCTGTCATTCATATATTGGACGTTCTATACTGGTCATCTGGTATTTATATGTTTGTATAGTGGGAGCAGAGGGTTTGCCACATTGTGCCAGCTGCTTCCTTTATTTTTCTTTTTTCACTCACTATTCACATGTTTTATTAGCTATTGGCATTTGCCAGAGTCTTTCTGACCAGGTCAAGCAATGTATTGGAAGACCATCAGTACAGGGGGATTCTCAGCCATGGATTTGGAGGATGTTCCACATGCTTTGTGTTTTGCCGGTTGATGCTCTTAAGGATTCAATTCAGCAAGTTTCTCGCTTAGCCCTCTTATCCGTGCCCATGCGTAGGGTTTTGTGGCTGAAGAGTTGATCAGCAGAACTGCCATCCAAAAAATTGTTGGCAGGTTTTCCCTTTCATGGGGAAAGGATGTTTGGGGAAGATTTGGACAAGTATATCCAAATATTCTCATTGGATCTGGCAGTTGATCATTCAACCTCCCCTCCCTCTCTCTCTCCCCTGCCTATGGTTTGAATGGTAAAGTCCCACCCTTTCGGGTGAAGGCACACTCCACCAGGAGTGTGGTGGTATCTTGGTCAATCTACCTTCAGGTGTCAGTGGCTCAGGTTTGCAAGGACACTACATGGTCTTCGGTTCACATATTCACAAAGTTCTACCAGGTGGATGTCAGAGCCGCAGAGGATTCTGCCTTTGGCCACAGTGTTTTATGGATGGCTGAGTAGGTCCTGAGGGATTTTTTACGATGGCTATCATGGTGTCACCCTTCCCTCAAATTTCATATTGCTTTGGGACATCCCATATAGTCATGAATAGCCTGCTCTATGTCCCATGATGTAGGATAAAGAAAATTGTATTTTTTTCTACATATTTACCTGTAAAATCCATTTATTGGAGTACATCACAGGACACAGAGATCCCACCCATACATAGTTACTTCCTGTATAGGAAGGGTTATATAGGGGAGTACCTCCCCTCTGATTTGTCAGCCAGTGTCCATTCACCTATAGGTGGCCTATAACCCACATAGTCATGAATAGCCTGCTCTGTGTCACGTGATGTACTCCAAGAAATGGATTTTACAGGTATGTATGTAGAAAAAATCCAATTTTTTTCCCAAATACAGTTGCAAGAAAAAGTATGTGAACCCCTTGGGATTACGTGGAGTTTTGCATGAATTGGGCATAAAATGTGCTCTGAACATCATCTAAGTCACAACAATAGAAGAACACAGTCTGCTGAACATAATACTACACAAACATTAGATGTTGCCATGGTTTAATTGCACATAACATGTAAACATTCACAGTGCAGGGAGGAAAAAGTATGTGAACCTATGGACTTAATAACTGGTTGACCCTCCTTTGGCAGCAATAACCTCAACCAAACGTTTCCTGTAGTTGCAGATCAGACCTGCACAACGATCTGGATTAATTTTGGATCACTCCTCTTCACAAAAATGTTTCAGTGTAGCAATATTCTTGGGATGTCTGGTGTGAATCGCTCTCTTAAGGTCATGCCACAGCATTTCAATCGGGTTGAGGTCAGGACTCTGACTGGGCCACTCCAGAAGGCGTATTCTGTGCTGTTGCAACCATTGTTTTGTTGAATTACTTGTATGCTTTGGGTCATTGTCCTGTTGCATCACCCATCCTCTGCGGAGCTTCAGTTGGCGGACAGATGGTCGTACGTTTTCCTGCAAAATGTCTTGATAAACTCTGGAATTCATTTTCCCATCAATGACAACAATCCGTCCAGGCCCTGAGGCAGCAAAGCAGCCCCAAACCATGATGCTCCCTCCGCCATGTTTTACAGTGGGGATGAGGTTTTGATGTTGGTGTGCTGTGCCTTTTTTTCTCCACACATAGTGTTGTGTGTTCTTCCCAAACAACCCAATCTTGGTTTCATCTGTCCACAGTATATATTGCCAGTAGTGCTGTGGAACATCCAGGTGCTCTTTTGCAAACTTCAAACGTGCTGCAATATTCTTTTTGGACAGCAATGGATTCCTCCATGGTGTCCTCCCATGTACTCCATTCTTGTTTAATGTTTTACTTATTGTAGATGTGTCAACAAAAATGTTAGCATGTGCCAGAGATTTCTGTAGGTCTTTAGCTGACACTCTGGGATTCTTCTTTACCTCATGCAGTATTCTGCGCTGTGCTCTTGCAGTCATTTTTACAGGACGACCACGCCTAGGGAGAGTAGCAACAGTGCTAAACTTTCTCCATTTGTAGACAGTCTGTCTTACCGTGGACACATGAACATCAAGGCTTTTGGAGATACTTTTGTAACCCTTTCCAGCTTCATTCAAGTCAACAATTCTTGATCGTAGGTCTTCTGAGAGCTCTTTTCTGCGAGGCATGGTTTACATCAGACAGTGCTTCTTGAAACCAGTAAACCCAAAAGAGGTGTGTGTTTTTTAAGGGCAGGACAGCTGTCAGCAACACATCCAATATCATCACACTGATTGGAGTCAAGCTTGGCTCACTCCTGGCTCCAATTAGCTCTGGGAGAAGTCATTTAGCTAGGGCCTCACATACTTTTTCCTCCCTGCACTGTGAATGTTTGCATGTTATGTGCAATTAAACCATGGCAACATCTAATGTTTGTGTAGTATTATATTCAGCAGACTGTGTTCTTCTATTGTTGTGACTTAGATGACGTTCAGAGCACATTTTATGCCCAATTCATGCAAAAGTCCACGTAATCCCAAGGGGTTCACATACTTTTTCTTGCAAATGTATGTGTTAAGCCATTTACTTGGAGTTTCACTTTAAGTTCACTTTGAAATTTAAGTAATGGGATATATCTATCTTGCTTTTAATAATATGTTCATGGTTTACACACAGGCATAAATGTACAGATGATAGAAATTTAGCATACCTGACTGTTTAAGGACATTATTGACCAGAGTTCTGAATTCATCCAAAATATGTTTGGCCAGTATATTTCCTTCATCATCGATATATGAAGCCATGGCTGGTGGTTTCCGTTTTCTAAATGCTAGCATGTAGAAAGCACCACTGTCATCAATACTTGTCAAGTCAATTGTTTGGTAACTCTCAAATGAAATGTTCAGCATGATGTCAAATTCATTTGGGTTTGATATCTGGAGAAAAAGGAGCATGTATTTTATGTTCGATGTTTCTTTATATAGTTTTAAAACTCAGCTCTGCATAACCTAAAAACCCTGCCTTGCAGTGTGGCAGCATCCACATTTCAAGGAATAAGTGCTTGTTTTCATCTAAGGAACAGAAAAACAGTTTTTTATACACCTCATACTCCGCTTCCAGGGCCTATGGGACTTCCCCATGTTCCAATGGCGAACTGTTCCTCAGCATCTTCACATCCAATGTAGGGCTATGAACCCTGCATTGGTCTTGATGGTGTCTGAGGACCTTAGTCCAGCAGCAAGGAGGAGCCTGCAGGTTCAGGTAAATTATTATTATTATTATACAGGATTTATATAGCGCCAACAATTTGCTGATGATTTACAAAATAAAAGGAGACAAAACAGCAACACTAAAGTTCAATACAAGAGGGTTAGGAGGGCCCTGCTCCTTGGAGCTTACAATTTAAGAGATAAAAGGTCTTTACTGGTTCTCATAGATATAAATGAGCAGTTAACCCTTGCAGTGTGGGAGGATTTTTAAGTTTCTTAAAGATCAGCTTTAACCATATTTATTTCAAACATAGCAACTACACTTTTTTTTTTTTAAAAATACAAGAGATGCCCAGGAACAGTGAGTGCTGTTCGAATGCTGGTCAAGATTATGGAGTTATTATGTCACAGGAGCACATAAAAGACTGTAGGATATAGGCGGTATAAAGCATTGATTGTTTTTAAAACATTACTCGAGGCAGGGGGTGGGAATGAAACTGTAGCTGCATTTCATTTTTAAATTAAACAGTTTTTCCTGAAACAAAAGTCAGTCATTTAAAAATAAATAAATAATGGTATACCTGTGAAAGGTTCCGAGGTGAAATTGTTAACCGGTAATAATACAGGGCAGTCCTAAGGGTAACATTTGATGTGCTTTAGACATAAACAGTTCTGGTGAGATTAACCAGCTTGCAAGATAACACTTTTCACAAAGTTAAAGTGTAATTTTTGCTGCAGTTTCTAAGGTCTGTTAAACACGCACTAGGCACAAATAATTATTCAGGCAAGTTGATGAAAATTACAAGAAGCATTCATAGTTGCTATATGTGTGCTTTTATTTCATAAATGCCTTGCAATGAAGATTGAAAAGTCCCACCTGTAACTAGCAGTTTAGCATTCTAAGTCACATAAATATACATAAGTTTAAGTAAAGGCTCATTCACTTTGTTTTTGAATTGTGTTGGATTATGTCCCTCTTAGAATAGTCAGGACCTCATTGCAGCAAGGCCACGGTGTTCACCTCTATGACTCCAAGCCAGCTATTATAAAATTAAGCAGTTTTACTGTTATTTATGCAAGTGTACGGCTTTGAGGATTGCAGTGATTGCTTTCTAAATCTGTCCTTAGTGCTAAGAAATATCTTGAATTGTAAAATATTTATGACAAAAAACAAAGTATATTTATTACCTTGACGCCTTCGTAGTAGCTTCCTGTAGACATTTTCTCAATGCTCTTAAATAGTGGGTGGCTTTTAGTAGTCTCAGACTTAATAATTATCTCTATGACTCTGTTAACTTTCTCTGCTGCTTTGGAAATATCATTAATTTTCAGTTTCAAACTATTCACTGCAAATTTCAAGTGCTTGGAAAGGTTGGAGATTGGCAAACTGTTACTTCTGTTTACTTGACTTCTAATCTCATCTTCATCTCTGGCAAAGTTGCCAGTGACTTCATCCTCATTTATTTTGCTATTTCTTCTTCTGGGACCATTGTTAACCATGCAATAGTCTCTTTTAGTATTTGCTTCTAGATCATGTGGTTCTATTGATTTTGATCTTCTGATGTGATTAAAGTGAGTCAACTTTGATGCCTTTGGATTACCATTGTCCACTTGACCAAGATCATTTTGTTCCACTAATTTTGTTCTTCTGCAGCTTTTAGAGGTAGTCTCCTTTTGTGCTTTCTTACGCACACTTTGTTTGGTTTCATCTTGTTCACTTGCTGTCTGTTGTAGTACCTCGTCATTTTTATTCTTTGCACTGTATTTTCCAATAAACTTTCTGGTAGTGCTTTTACAATTGTATGTGCCATTGAGAGTAGATGCTGAGCTATCCTTATTCTTCCAGGGTTGTTGAGTCTTTCTTTTTGCTTTCTCATTACCATCAGAGTGATCAGCATTAGAATGTTTAAACTCTGAGCTTGACTCCTGCATTTCTTTTGAAATCCTTTCATTGTCTGAATTAGATGAACTGTCATTGTGTTTCTTTGGGCGATTTGCCATTTTTTGCTGTCTGTCTTGTTAATACCTTCTTTCAAGTTTCGTGTCTTCCTGACAAATACTCTGCAAAAATAAATGCATCCTCTTTTATATTCATTCTCTTGTAAAGATCACTCCCACTTCAAAGGTATAAGAGAGAAACGAAACTGAAAATGTGACTGCTTCACTGCAAAAATATGCCTTAGGAATGTATTAATTATTTTACTTTGGCAGCTCCTAAGTTGAAATTTTTATTTAAAGAAAGTGTAAAAAGCAACAAAGTCATGCTAAAAATGTACATCAGAAGCAATATGCCAAGCGCTTTGTTTCAGTTCTCACTTTCTCTGGACAAATGTACCAGTACATTGCAAGCCAAAGCATCTCCTTCTGTATTGACTTTCTAGTAGAAATCACATCTCATAGGCATAGGAAAGTGAGAAACAAAACTGAATATGTGACCTGTTAACTGTCTTACTATCTTTTTTTCACAGGGAGGATGTGGGGCAGGATTAATCGTCCTGACAATTTTGGTTGTGGAGAGTTAGAAAGGACCCCAATACGCAGCTATTCTTTTTGGAGTTTTGTTTGGGTTCCTGGATTTGAACTGCCTGGAAAGGAATAGAAGGGAAAGACATGCTTTTACTTCTTCCCCTCCATTCCAGGTATTGGGCATAAGTAAAGCCAGGCACTCTGCTGCACCGTGGCAATACAAGCCAGCGATCATATAATCTGGGGTCAGTGTAAGTAGTCTCTAGAGCTTGGGTCTATGTCTTTCCTACTGAGGCTGCAAGGTGCTTGATGGAAGGATACTGCTGTCTGGAGTCACCCCTTGATTGAGCAGCTATTTATCATTATAAGTGACTATGACTACTATCCATGCAGAAAGACTTAAGTTGTGTTACAGAGGAAAGACTGCTTGCCAGGAGGCTAGGATTTTGTATACTGTTCATATGCCCACTGTAAAGGAAGACTTTCTGTTTGCATACAGGGAAATAGGCAAAGTGGTTAGGAAGCATTTTGACATGTTTTGCTGGTTTTGCCTTCATGCCTCAAGGGCCTACTCACCTAGCTTTGCATGATACCAAGCTACACTATAAAACTTTCAGTTGCTTTTTGATGCTTATACAGTGAAGCAGATTTGCTAAAGTATCTGAAAAGCTTCACTCACAATATTCACTTCAGTTGTCCAGTCATGGGCAAAGCAAATTCCTGTTTTCTGTGTATACCCAATCATGTCCAGGTGCTTTTCACATGAGTGGATAATTGAAGTGAATATTCACACATTTTTGAGTGAAGTTTCTCAACTCCTTTAGTGACTCAGCCCCGAGTGGCTGCCAGTTTACATTTCTCCAAGCATCTTCATGACTTCATAACTCCAAAATGGTTATCTTGTCTCCCAACATGCAATCTACTCTGTCCAAAGTGACCATTGTAACCTATGGAAGTGAACACATAAAAGCATATGTTTCAGGCAGACTCCACATAGTGGGGTCCAGTCCCCAAGGTACAAAACTGAGGGGGGTACCAATCCGGAAACTGCTAGCTAGCCCTGGGAATAAGCACTCAGATATTGATAGAAGGGTCAGACGTAAAAAGGAATGGTTTAAAAGAAAAAAAAATCACCTCCAAAAGAGAAAAGGTCCATCATATAAGGACAGTAGCAAAAAAAAAAACTAAGTTTCTTGAAGTGAGAGTGGGGGTATATAAGTGCATTAGGCATGACCCAAGTCCAGTCACCTTAAGGTAGCCTGCATATCACCATAGTCTATGAATACAAGTCCTGTACTGCACCATTAACCGCTTGCCGTCCAGAGGATTTACCCCCCTGACCAGACCATGATCTGCGATACGGCGCTGCGTTATTGTAACAGACAATTGTGCAATCATGCAATGCTGTACATAAATTAAATTTATGCCCTTTTTTTCCCACAAATAGAGCTTTCTTTCGGTGGTGTTTGATCACCTGTGCATTTTTAATTTTTTTGTTCTATGAACAAGAATAAAATGACAATTTTGGAAAAAAAAAACAATATTTTTGACTTTTTGCTATGAAACATTGAAACATCCAGTAAAAGTTTTTTAAAAAAATAAACATTTTTCATAAATTTAGGCCAAAATGTATTCTGCTACGCCTTTGCTAAAAAAAAAAAAAATCCCAATATATGTAAATGAATTGGTTTATGTGAAAAGTTTAGTGTCTTCAAATGGCGGTATATATTATGATTTTTTTTTTAATATACTAGTAATGGCAACGATCAGCGACTTCTAGCGGGACTGCGGCAGGCATTCTGACACTGGGATGAACTGCCACATCCCAATGACACTTATACAGTGATCAGTGCTAATAAAAAGCACTGACACTGTACTAAAGACACTGGTCAGGAAGGGGTTAACATTTGGGTTGATCAAAGGGTTAACTGTGTGTGTTTTACTAGGGAAACCTACTGCTGTGTATTTCTCTGCTGTGCAGAGAATTACTCAGCAGCATGTTACTGCTGGCAGGAGAGAGACCTGTGTTGTTTACACACAGGTCTCTCCCCTGTCAGTGATACTCGGCGATCACTGGGTGCTAGTGGGGAATCTCCGGCTCCGGCGGGGTCCCAGTAATCGACATCTGTAACCGTCAATAGCACGCTTCTACGGGCTGGCACACAGGCAAGGTGGAAATATTCTGCCTACCCGGAAATGTGAAATCACATATATATATATATATATGTGATTTTGCACAGACCTGCTGCCCTGTAGCAGTCGCAAAGATACTGTAGATAATATTCTATGATTTGGTCACAGTAATGATCTTTTTATCTGCAAGAATATATAATTAGAAATGCGTAGTAAAGAGAAGATTTTCTTCAGACAGCTAAATGTCAGTAATATGTCTGTGTTAAATTATGTCTAATATGCCATGTTTTTACCACAATCAAGGCTTTAATGATGATAAATACATTAAATACAGTTGAGGACTTGTCACTTAGTATCCATGACAGGCTGACAACCAGTACTTGTTTATACTGGAATCAGCTCAGTTATGTGTTACAAGGTCTCTCATTTAGGCATAGCACATAAGTTAACACTGTGAAGAGCTAAGATATAATACAAAAGAAGGAAGTAAATGTTTCCTTTTGTCACTTTTTCCACTTTTTCCTCTCTTACTGGATCTCACAAGCTGCTGTAGTGTCAATCTTGCTTACACTGGCACTTTCATAAGAGTAATAAGTGCTAATAATGCAAGTACAGTTTCTTTACCAACACTGCTGTTCTGATCACCTCTGATTTCTAGAAAAATAATTGCATATACTTATATAGAGAGAATATTAGCGAGCGCTACTTCAAGAAATAGCCGGTTGTACACCAAAGGTAACCAAAAACAACCCTCAAATATAAATATTAAAATAAGGTGCAGCACTAAGACAAGACAGTATATATGATAAAGTGCAAAGTGATCACTAGTATTTCATCATAACCATCTAAGATAATGTAGACAGTATAAATATATAAATAATTAAGCTGTGTGAGGTATATCAGCACCAGGTGATAATATATGGTGATAATTAGTCCCAAAAAAGGCGTGAGGATCCTTTCAAGATCACAATCCACGTGTATGGGTAATTGATCCAAGGGTGCCAGATGAAGTGACTGAATAAGCAAAATGTGCACTCACCAGAAGTGCGCTAAAAACACGCATTTGAGATAGTATCCTGTCTCATCAGGTATACTCAGGTCACCTGCTCCTGGATTTGGCTAGGTTCCAATACACCCTTAGGGTCCTTAGGCAGGTGTCACAGCGTCTGGTCACGTCTGTGCAAGGTTCTCTGGGGCCCCTTAGTATGTATCAACGCGTTGGGTCATCACTAAAATGGGTTCTGCAAATGACGGCGCTCACAAGGAGAGCCCAATGAAGGACACCACATAGCGTCATACTGCATAAAGGGGTGATATTTATTTCCACATAAAGCAAGTAATAAATGTAAATGTAAAAAACACACTGACCAATGGTATTCAGGATGGCCACCAGCGGTGGCGTGACGTCTAGGATGCTGTAGCCCACTGACGCGTTTCGTGCGAAGCACTTAGTCATAGGGTGCGGGCTTCGCACGAAACGCTGGTGGCCATCGTGAATACCATTGGTCAGTGTGAAATAAATATCACCCCTTTATGCAGTATCACACTATGTGTTGTCCTTCATTGGGCTCTCCTTGTTACGTCTAGGATTTATAAGTTTCTTATTGATATAGATGGATGTGACCCTCCACTGTTCTTAGAAAAGTGGGGGAAAGGAATTAGGAACAAAATTGAATAAGCTACACAAAAATAAAATATTTAATTTAGCACATGGTGCAAAGAAACATGAATACGGTAGAAATTAATTATTTTTTTTTAGCTAGATGGTACATTACACCCAGTATTGCACATAAACAACAACCTGAGGTTTCACCGTTATGTTGGAGGGAGTGTGGGATGAAGGGAACAATGTTACACATCTGGTGGGAATGCCCTGAAATACAGAAGTTTTGGCAAGAAAT